CAAACCACGATGTGATGTTCTGTGTGAGGATGCTCTCCACAGCGCCTGTATAGAAAATCCTGAGGATCTTTGGAGAGACCCTGAACTTCCTCAATTGTCGTAGGTGATACAGACGCTGCCTAACCTTTTTGGTCTGGACCTGAATGTGGGCAGACCATGTCAGGTCTGAGGAGATGTGGACACCAAGATACTTGAAGGACTGCACCCTCTCCACTAGAGCTCCATGGATGATAATGGGCTTGTAGTCTCTGTGCTGACTCCTTCTGAAGTCCACCACCAGCTCCTTGGTCTTGTACAGAGTGAGAGGCCCCCTGAACCAAAACAGCTACCAGAGCATTCTGCAGCACCATGCAATACCCTCTAGTATGTGCCTAGTTGGTCAGGGGTTCATCCTACAGAAAGATAATGACCCAAAATGTAGCCCAAGCTGTCCCAGATCTACCTCAGGAAAAAAGAACAAGATGGGAAGCTTGAAACCATGAAGTGGCCAGCACAGTCCTCAGACCTAAACCCCATCGAGCTAGTTTGGGATGAACTAGACAGAAGAGTGAAAAGCAAAGCAACCTACAGGTGCTGCATGTTTATGGGAACTTCTGCAACAGACATGGGAAGAACTTTATGAACGAGATTTCATTTCTATTGTCGAAAGAATGCCACGGGTGTGTTCAGCTGTTATATTTGCCAAAGGTGGCTTGTTACGACCCGGCTCAAAGCCGCAACATAAAAAAGGAGACGAATACCAGAGTGTAGGTGAACAGAGGTTTTGTCTTAAAATGGACCATCAGGTCGGCTAAAATGGCTGGTGCCACCAAGGCAAAGACAAGTGAGCTCACACAGGCTACTTTGGTGAGTCAAAGGTTTAGAAAACATCTTGGTCTAGAAATTGATTCCATGATTTCTTTTCACCTGCAATTGCTTATTTGTGCAATGAGACATTAAACTGTATAATTTTCAATAGAAAAACTGGAAAAATTGGGGTGTTATAAAAGTTTGGACCAGTAGAGAGCGTGTGCGTGTATCAATCAATACCAAAAGTGGTATCTCTATCGATGAATAGTCTGAGACTGTGCACATACGGAAGCGGAGTGTGGATGTTGTAATGTGAGGGTGAGGAAAAATAAGACCAGCAGACACATTGATAGCCTCAGCGCTTGGCGAGCCAGCACCAAGAGAAGACCCTGCTTCTGCGAGGAGCTGCCTTAGCGAGTTTATTTACAAGTCACAAAATACAGGGGACTCTTTCAAAGTGCGCACAAGCGTTTCACATTAGTGTTGCTATTTGACAAACCATCAGTTCATCCCCTCCACTGCTCAGTCTTTGGTTTCCCAACTTTGAAATGTGAGGATCAGTCCCACAATCATACTCAAATACTCTTTACCTATTTATTTTGTTCCACAGATACATAAGGTGTCGCTGCTCTTAAAATAATACAGTTTGGTTTTTTCCCCTACCATCCAGGTGAGGATTTTGTGCACTACAAAAACTTGCATTTTTACAGCACAGTTGACAAAACTCACAGTTCAAATTTATATAATTCAGGATAGAAGTCAGCCTCATATTTGGAGCTTTATCTATTTATGCATGTTATTACAATGTTTTATTTTTAGATTTATGGCTTCAAAAACATTAAATCTATATCTGTTATACAGTGATCTCTGTAGTAGTTGTGCGTGGCTGTATAGCGGCTAACTGTAGGCGTGTATTTAAATAGTTGCCTCGGTTTCTCTTTATTTTCCAAAGTTGCTTTTCTGCACTAAATATGACAACTTTTAAGTTTTTCAAGTGCTGGAAAAACAGAAGAAAAATAAATCATGACTGCAGTGATATAAAAACTGTTACCTTATTTGTACAGCTTCTACTAAAGATATGGTTTTCCGCACATCCACGTGTCATAATGAGGGGAAACAAAGGTTTAAAAATCCAGAAGCCCGGTCTCAAGGCTGCAACGGAAAAAGCACTTTTCTAGAGCAAAAACATGAAGTGACACGATGACCCTGGCAAAGGAAATAAAAAGTCCAATAAATTCATACTTTTTTCCTCCTCGAACCGTTTTTCCAATTAAAGGACAACAGCTGTGCTAAGATCAAATAAACTCAGTCACAACTGACCTCCAAAAAAATTGAGTTTACACGCGCACACACACGTTCCACTCAAGCGCTAAATCTTCGATCCAAACCCAATTCTGTTTTCCAAAACAGAAACAACAATCTGTGTGTCACACACGTGACAGAGAGGGTTAGGTAAAATAAAGGTGATCCCACACTAAAGTCACTTATTTTGAGCCAGGCGTTACTGTACATTTGACAGTACTGATTCAGTAACCCAACACTGTGCAAAAAGAGGACATCACAACATTGCACAACACTTCCTTCAAAGGAACTCTGTGGACATGAACCAGGACAAAGTTTTGATCCGGAGGAATCAAATCTCTGCATTTGATGAAGAGGCGGCCTGACCTGTCCTCAAAACACTGCTCTGCCGGATGTCCCTCAAAGTTATTCAAGGCTGTGAGCTACGAAGCTCAAGTTCTTGTTTTAAAAGTTTCATCTAATCTCCAATTGTCCTCAAGTTTTTAGGATGGCAATAAAACACTGCACCCCCCTGTGGTCAGAGGGTGCAATGGCAGTAACGCTTTTAACCATCTCCCCCCAACATGTGCAGTCAGGAGATGTGTCTTAACTAAGCCACAGTGCAGCTCTTAAGTAACTTAACCTGCTGAGATTTAAGGCCATTCTAGCATCTTCCCATCAGTGTGGGACTTTTTACCCTTTCTGGGGTATTTATAAAATGTTACAATCAAAACTAAGGTCATTAGAAGTGAGTATAAACACCCTCAAACTAAAGCTCAAAGCCATCACTTCAACCTGAGTCATTTTTTTCCCCAAACATACATAAGAGTCAGGGGGGTTGGGGGGTCTTTAATGAGTGGGACCAATCCAGACTTAACTTCAATGTGTTAGCAGTGCTTCCCACACACTGATAGTGACTCGTTCAAGGGTTTATTTATTAATTTATTCTCTGATCATTTGAGAGAACACCACCTTAGCCAATTTACCAGTGGTCCTTCTCACTTATTTAGAAAGTTGATTTTCTGATAACTATGCCGTTGTGCTGGTTATCAATATCATTAAGCTACTTCTTATAGGATGAACACCAATTTACGGTTTCTGGAGTTTTGCAGCTGTCGGCTCCAGAGACCCATCAGGATTGAGGCGGAGTCTCATTGGCGATGCAGCTGATTGCACCAAAGTTTATGGTGTCATGTAGGGCTGGGCGATATATCGAGTTTAAAAAAAAAAATCGATATATTTTCATACGAGATATAAGATGTGACAATATCCTTTATATCGATATAGTCTATGTTTCGTTATAATTATACTTGTGAAGCCACAAGTTTGCATCTCTTTCGTCCACTTTTGTCTCTACGCAACGTTACTCGGCCTCGCCTCTCCTTCACTGAACACAACTCCCCCTCCTCCCCCATAGCTTCACCTGCAGGCAGCGACAAGATGGACACGGCAAATCTCCGTTAGCGAGTTGTGGGGCTGGACGGCGTCAACGTGTTAGCGAGCTAACCGTGCTAACCATGCTAACGACATGCACGGCCTAAAATCCCTTCATTTTCTCAAAAGTTGACAGCGCGCCTTATGTATGAATTCTGGTTGTGCTTACTGACCGCGAACCGATTTTAGGTGGTACACGGCGCTCAGCAATCTGTCAAAAAAATGTTTTAGTAGGACTTTGGTAAGCTACGGAGATGCAGCGCTTGATGGATTATCGGAGCATTACGGCTACCGTAGTCTGGAGCCTCGCGGAGTGATACGTACTGTGCTTCAACGTAATATTACCGTATTGTGTGTGTATAAGGGCCATAAATGGCACCTGTTAAGAGACATGGTTACAAAGAGGATTTCAAACTCAAGGCTGTCAGTCACACAGTAGAAGTTGGGAACAGAGCAGCTGTGAAATCTGTCTTTGTTATTATGCTCAGCGTCTGTTAGTTTACATTTTGACTGCACAATAACAACATTGTTTTCTTTTATTTATGGAGCATGATTATTTAATAAATGCTGATAATTTATTTTTGAGTAATTTCTTCATGTAAATCTATGCTGTATGTAAATAAAAATGCCTGTGTGACATCTGGGACACAGTGTGACTAAGAACTCTCTTTTTGTTCTTAACTTATGGCTTTAAAAAAATATCGAGATATATATCTTATATCGCCACCCAGCTAAAAAATATCGAGATATGAATTTTGGGTCATATCGCCCAGCCCTAGTGTCATGAGTTAGTGGGCAAAAAAAAAAAATATATCTGTAGAGGTGTTAATAATTTGTTAAACAAAGGGTACTTGGGACTCTTTAGCAGTAAACGCTCTCTGCCACAACTAGAAACAACATCTGTGGGAAACACTGCTCAGCCACAACAAATGATTTCCTTTCTGGATGCCCATGCTGAGAGTTTGTTGGGTCAAACACTAGTAAAAGTTTAAAAATAAAAAAAATAAAAGAAAGTTGGAACCAGAACCTGTTATTTCAGGGCAATCTTCTTACAGATGGACATTCTGCCAACCCTCTATAATGAGAGGCTTCTTTTGTTGGTTGTAAATGTAGTCACCCACTTTGAATTAGAACAGATATCATAATTGATATCAGTAAACAAGATGATAACTGACTTTCTGCTCAAAGAATCAGAAAGAATTTTTTAACCTTCAGATGTTCAGAAATCACCACCCATAACAGTGATTGCTACGGTGCAATAAACCTCTGAAATGCTAATACCCAGTCGTGTTTCCAGGCGTTTATTTGTCTCCATCCCGATCTCCATGCAGCCTTCTCTCATGCTGCCGTTTGGTGAGGATGTATTTGAAGAACTCGTAGACAGACCAGCTGATGGCAGTAGAGGGCATCTGGTAGATGACCCGGGCTTGGACGCCTTTAAAAAAGGCTGGAAAGCCTCCCATCCTGTACACCGTCCGAAAAGCCTCGCCCAGGCCAGAGATTTGGCGGCTGCCGGAGGCCGACGCAACCGCTCCAGCGCCCGTCTCTGCCTGGATCACGTGAATAGCCCGAGTCTCCTGCGTGTTAAGAAGGGTCTTGCAGACATCGAGGGGGGTAGTGGCAGCAGCAGCCAGGGCTCCAGCAAGAGCACCGGAAACAACGTGGGAGGAAGGGTTGTACTGCCTGTGGGGGTTGAGAAGCTCCTGCAGGTACTCATAGGTCATGAAGTGGAGCACCTGGAAGGGCACGTTCATCGTGAGCTGGGTGGTGTAGCTGCGGTAGAAAGCAGCTGGGCCCTCGTGTCTCAGCAGAGAACTCACACAGTCCACCACGCCACGATAAGGTGAGTTAAACATCTGCATTCGCTGCTTCACAACTAAAAGAAAAAGACAGGACACAGCTTCCTCAATCACATTCAATAACACCTGATCAAGCACGTGATCTAATGACCATTTCTTATCAATCCATCCAATCATATTGACACAGAATTGCAACAAAATGTTAACCTTCTCAAGTAAACGCATAACCCCGTGTGACTGTCATCATCAGACTGGTCTGTTGTAAAAAGCTCTTTTATTGTCTGCAGCTTGAGCCTGTAGCTCCACCAAGTGTCCTAATCACAGAAACACCACATGGTCTATAATGACCTGAAGCAGGCTGAGGGTCTTTAAGTAGGTCAACACCAAGTCTTTTTACTGTGCAGAATGCATCACATGTGACTGCGTGCACATCAGCTGAGCTGACATAAGCAAAGAGATGGAGGAGGAGGGTTTACCTTCAGCTGGGTTCATGGTGGCATCGTGCAGCACTGTGGCCATGCAGCCCGCCACTCCTGCACAACAGACAAAACAAAGTTTTAACCACAAGATCTCACAGCCTCTCCAAATATTTTGAACACATTACAAGGAGTGTGTTAAAAACAATAGCATATCTGGCTCTAGTTTAATTTAAAAAAATAAATTTAAAAAATTGTATAATCAAACTGACAATAATAAACAGTCACAGAGTCAAGTGTAACTTCCTTCTACCAAATTCTACTGAATTCATTTCCTGTTTCTTTATTCTTCTGTTCTTTAAAATAAAGAAAGAAAAAAGAAAACACAATCAAACTTCTGCACCATTGATTATAAGTCAAAGTTTGCTGACTGGGAAACATCTTACCATTGGCAAAGTGGCTGTTGGTGCCAGGATGAACAGCGTCACTGAGCGAGAACTTTATCTTCTCATAGCACGCGAAGTAGAGAGCATGGGCAGGCCCCGCCCCCACTGCCAGTACATTCACGCCTCTGATCGGCCTCCACACGCCCTCGGTCTGTACAATCTGCCGCAGGGCATCCATCACGTTCCTGTAGCGTGCGCCCGGCTCTGGGTGCAAGCTCTGCATGCGAGTCTGAGGTAATGGGGAGAAAAAAAAAAAAATTGAACAGAATAAATAAATAATGTTCCAATCTGTATCCCACCTTTTAATGTTCTGGGTGGGAATAATAAGTATTTTTAAAATAAATACAAACTTGTGTATTTAAGCCCACTCAATTTTATAAACACTTGAAATTGGATATTGTGATATTTCTTGTTCAAAGTTAACAGGTGTACTTTTGCATTCTTGCAGAAAAGATGCAGAAGAACAAAGAAAACAAACAACCCAAAGAAAAAAAATTTAAAAAAGAAGAAGGAAGTGTTACAGGGCCCCTTTCTGTCAGCATAACCATTATAAACACTTATCCCTCTGTCAGGGAAACCTGAACAGCTAACAGGAGAGTGGATAATTGGCGCTGTAGGTAAGCGCTGATGTAAATGATTAATTTTAGGTTAGTCTATTCTGTTTGTGGTTCTTACTATGTTGGGTATTTGATGCTGCAGTTCCTGATGCAACACAATAAAGTTACTTTAATCTTTAGAAGAGGCTCTTGCGTTTTGAAAACTGCACCTTTTTAAAATGACGACAGTATAGGAAGCTTGTCATAAACAACAAAACCCACAACTCCTAATATAGTAAAGGATTGAGACAAATGATGTTGGATGACAAAGATGGCGCGGTTTCACTTCTGTGTCCAAATATCATGCAGTATGTGTCATTTTAACAGCCTTTTCACTGGAAATCATCCGATGTTTATGGAAGTACATATCACTGTAGAAAATGTAACTAGATCTGAGTTCAATCAAACAGTCTGCCAGTGTTTTTGCCCATGAATGAGTACTACTGTTCACTGGTGGACAATAAATTAATCTGACTACCTAAGTAACAGACAGGGATGTGCGTGACAAGTCGACCAATCATCGCTATTGTCAGTAGTCTGTATCACATATACTAGTTGTTTTTACTTCACACCCAATGCTGGTAAATAGTTGTGTACTAGCTGTGTCTTACTGTTATGTAGCCATCTGCCACCAGAGGGAGCGTTGTTGTTGAGAAACACCCTAAATCCCTTAACCTCGGCCTGATCTTTTTGTTAATGCTATCATTGAAAGTTTAATTAAAAGGCGAAAGAATAAGACTGTGGATATGCGCACTTTGTAAGGTGAACTAGGCTTTCTCTTAGTGATAGTGTGAGGAGTTCAGTCATTTGGGAGGGGCTCAGAGTGCAGCCGCTGCTCTGCCACACCAAAAGGAGGCAACTGAGGTGGGCACCTCCTGGGTAAGGTGTTCCGACTGGGCCTTTCTTACTGGGACTAGGCCCCAGGGTAGACCTGAGACTTGCTGCCCATGCCTAGTAACAGATTGCCAAAGCAATGAGCAATATTTTCAGCCCCCTAACATGTCACAATCCTAAAAATTTTCCAGCTGATTTACAGAAGAGCAGAGAGCACATCTTCCTCTTGGCAAAATGTTCACATGGACTTTCCCGGTTTGTGCTTCTGGGAAACGATAACACACACGGAATGTGCTCAGTCATCCACAATGTGAGCGGTGCATTCAAGACTGTTGTAGAACACCCACGTCCTCAGCACTGAGCAGCAAACAACAGCAGCAGCTGGTAGTGAAAAAAAATGACAACAGTTCACCGGTTTATGTATTCAGCCTTACTTCACTGTATACCACTAACTCACTAGTGTAATATTTGCCCTGCGAGAGAGCAAATGCCACCACCAATCATCTCTGACGGCCTAATGTAGCAACCTGGCAACTGTTGCTAGGTTGCTACATTACCCTAAAAAACATTAAAATCTACCAACTAGATAGACAGGGTAGCTTTGTGCAAACAGTCAAAGGGCAAGGTCAATTGTAGATACTGAAGAAACTACAGCAGTGCTTCCTTTTAAAGCCTGATTAAATGGATCAGAGGTTTTGTAACATTTTGCAACATATTTCACCATTTTTTCAAAAGGTTTTTTTTAATGGTTCACCCAGGAAAAAGTCTGCATTTGTTTTTTTTCCCCTAGCTTAAAATAGACGTTTATGTATGAAAAAGCTCAAACTATGAGTCAATTGAGTAAATAAAACTCGATTACAAAAAAAAATTCCTGATATTATTTTGGTGAAAGAAACTTCTTTCACCAAAACAGATTAGTAAGATAATGCTTTCTGCCTGTCTTCAAGCAATGAAGAAACAGACACTGAATTTAGTGAGAAGAATAGACTGAAGCATAATGATTACATTATACATAAAGATGCTGGCCAGCTACGTATGACTGCAGCAGGAAACAGGTTGTGAAAAAACAAACCTTAGCAGTAAAAGGAAGTTGTCTTTAAAGGTTTACTGTAAAGAAAATCCAAACTTCCTTCAGACAAAAGATATTCAACCACAAAGTTTTGTAATCCACTTCCTTCTACTTCAGCTTTGTTGCTGGAAGAGGGACACAGTCTTGAGACACATAAGGCCAGGAAAGGCTTACGAAATTCTCAACTTAAAAGTCGTCTTTATAAATTAAAACACCTGAAGCACATGTAGCTGACATCCTACCAGGAATGACATTAGGTCTGAATGTTAATTGCTCTATGTTTTTGTTAAAGGCTTTCTAAAAATGAGGAAGTGATCAACATCATTGTTTACCAAATGTTGCTCAGTTAAAATGACCTGCACAGGATTTGTCACATTTACATCCTTGTTAATAAGAATTTGAAATAACCACAAATCTCCAAGTCAAAACATTTCCAACAAACATCTGCTGATCATGGTGTGATTCTGATGAAAGGTCCTGCAAGGGAAAGCTTGAGCTTGTTTTCACCAAATCTTCAACTTGGAATTTATAGTGAATAAGCCTTTTGTTTGATTTACCACCGCTATAAGAAACCACAGAATTACTGCTTCTTTATCTCCTGATACAAAAAGGAAATAACAGGCCGCATACTGAGCACTAAGCTAACAAAGGAAGACACTGTCTTGATTGCTGAAATGCTTTTTGACTCCTTAGATTTGACTAGTCATTTCCTCCTCTAATCCTTAAATCTACTCAACTTTTCTAGCTAAAGCATCGGACAAGCAGCTGTTCACAGTTGGCACACATTTATATCATAGGAAGACATGGTTAGAAAATCCTAAACTATCCAGTTATTCTGAGAAACAAGCCTGTGCACAGTTCCATACCCTCTTCTGCCAAGGAGTGCTTCATTTAACTAGTGTCACTGTGTCAGTGTTAAACTAGTGTTTAAGTGTGTCATTAACTTTTGCTCCAGTGACTAATGACCCAAATGAGTTACTCAGTTACTACAGCCAACTCTTCACTGGGTTTTTTTGACAGTTTCTACAAAGTGTTTTCCCAAAGTAAAGCAAAGAGTGATGTTGTCTACAACCATAAAGGTAGCTCCAACAATGCAAATGAGTGAAAGCAACAACTGTCCCCAGTATCGCTTCCGTTTAGTCCTCTACGGTTACGTCTTTGATATCAGACTTTGACCATATGTGAACTCAAAGGTTAATTCTAAAATCTCTCGCCTGTTGGATTTTCTTCGGGATTACTTTTACGATACTAACCATTTACTGAAAACGTAGCACAATGGAAGGCTTTGGACAAAGCAACACAAAATGTCCATGGAGTTAATGGGTTAAGTGATAACTTTCTTTAAGTGTATCGGACCCGTGGAAAAGTAGTGCTGTGTAGCAAGGTGTAAATTTACGAGTCCACTTGAAATTGAAAAAAGAAAACACACCAAAAATGCACATTTTAAACCCTGTGCGATAAAGGATGCATGTTAGGGACAAACTTTAACAATCCGGGATAAACTGAGGTGCCGGTTACGACACTAACGGCACCTCAGTGAGGTACTATCAAGCCTAACACATCACTTATCTCTCCAAATCAAAGCTAGGTAAAGCTAAATATACACACTAACATTAAGCTTCCCACTGCGTCCGCCTGAGAATCCTGTTTTATAATTTTAGGTTTAGGTAATGTAGCTGATTTAACTGACCTCTGTTAGCAAGGTTACCCCCTGTTAGCTTGTAAGCTAGCGTTAATCGAGCTCAGGCTTGTAAAGAGGCCTGCGTCAGATTCGGCTTTATACAACCAGTTGCTACCCTCAATGCTGCAAAAACAGAGCCCGACAAACTTTTAAACTCGTAGCCTATTATATTCCATCGCTCTTATACCTTGACACAGTCGACGGGATACATAACGCAGTGCTCCATGATTCCAGCAACGGCACCTGCCAACATGTGTGTGCTAGTGGATACTCCTTGAGGCAGTCCTTCATAGTCTACTTCTGTCTCGACAGAAGTCAAGGTCTCCGGAGTAGACCGATGTGACACCGAGACAAAGTCCTGTTCCCCCGCCATTCTGGATGAGACATGAAATCCTCCCGATGTTCCCAGCAGTCTGCCGCCAGACCATCGAATCTCTGCCCTGGCTGCAGGGCCAGTGACCCGGCTATCGACGCCCGCTGCTTCCACCGACGTTCGCCGGGACATGAAACCATCCGCTTCCATTCAGATAAGTTACTTTAGACCTACTGATATGGACAAATCCGGCGGCCTGCCTGTTGGCGCGTTCTTCCCGGCAGCTTATGAATGCAGGCCGGGGATAGAAAGTGCGCGGCAGCCAGTTGCAGAGAGACCGGGAACCAGGAGGAAGGATGGGTTGGTTGTGAGTGTTGCACGCCAACAAATGAATTTGATTCGCTAGACTAGCTGTCAATTATAGACAGTTCGCTCCAATTAGCCAGTTTGGGCTGGGCGGGTAGGTAAAGTGGGTGGAGTTTAAACCTCGTCTTTTGTAACTTCTTTTTATCACGCGTACGGGCCTGCAGGAACAGGACGTCCCAGGTTACGCATCAACGTAGACTTGAACGAAACACATCTACACTTAAAGTTAGGGCATGTGGGGATTGCTTTTATTTTTCTTTAATACTGATATGTTTATTTGAGCAAAAGGGCATATTGTTTTTTTTACATGACAAAATCATATGTCATATGGACTTTTTAATCTGGAGAAAACACAACTTACTGATTTTTCAAGATAAAATAAACAGTCTTTGATTAAAAAAAGTCTGTAAAATGTTATAAACATATTATTATTGTTATTAATATTGCCAGTGTATGATCGTACATACACACTCTACGATCGCTATAGTCTGATGTATTTTTAATATTATTATTTTAGTTTTTGTAATAAAATAATTCCCATATGTCGGATAAATAAAATATTTCCCATTCAACCGCATTGCATAGTTCTGATTATTCCTACAGGCTTGAATGCAGCAAGCCTTCGCCTTTCGTGTTTGATGACGTAGCCAACCGGCTAACCGGAAGTTTCGGTCATTTCCTCTCCGACTCCTCGTCGTGTTCTCTAAACTAATAATTTACGGTGATGCGGCAAGAGAATAAGGGGTCGTATCGTCTTATCTGTCGAACTACAAACAAGATTTATTAATGTTTGTTACTGCCATGGTGGAGAAGAGGCTTCTGTAGGTACGTTTATAAGAGCGAGTGATAGCATACGGGTGCTGTGATGGTTATCAGTTGTTCGTAAACGTATCCGGTTTGTAATTGAACAGTTATTAACAATGATAGCCACATTTGTAGCCAATAAATAAATACAACATAGAATGTATTTTCCCCTCTGTTATTTGGTTTGGGTTACAGTTATTGTGTTTTATGTAACGGTTTTAGCTTATATAACTGAGAGGTAGGCTAGTTACACTGACCCGTGGAAAAAAAGGCAGAGATTATACTAAAATGGTCCTCTTCTATTTAACGACAGCGTCTAACAAGTGCAGCAGGGGATTTAAAAACATATCACAGATTTGAAGCACAATATGCTTATTGTTCTGGCAGGTAGGCTAGAGTAATTTGTTTGTTTGCAGGTGTTACAAATAAATTAGATTTTTTTGAGGTTGTAGCAAGTAAAGTTAAGGCCTTACGAAGACAAACAGTGTTAGTTAGGTCTGCCAGTGTACAGGCTGCCAGCTGATTAGAGTAAAGTATTTATTGTGTTGTAAAGTTTTTATTTTATTTTTGTTTTTACATGCATTTAGACAACAGGGCATTGACATTAATTAACATTGAGCCTCTCCCCGTCCCCCTTCTTACTCCCTTCCAGCAGAAAAAAAATTCAGTTGACAACATCATAATCAGCCTGCAGCCGCCATGAGGTGACGACTGTGACATTTTGTACTTTTGCTGACGTGGACACATGGCAAGGTAATAAACCGATAACAGTTTCTGCTGTCAGAGTATTCCTGAGAAGCCCTTATGCTTGGCACTCTAACAGATGTTTTTCCATGGCTGTGGGAAACACAGGTGTTACTACTTATGTTACTGTGGGCTCAGCACTTAACACAACAGAGCCTTTATTAATGCTATTACTTAAACTTGTATTTACCTACTGTTTTATGTCAAAATGGCTGCCACGAGTTACGTCTGCTGTTGTATATAACAGTATCTGCTGTGTCTTCGTCTTCCACAGGATTACTTTGTCCTGCCTGCCAGCCTCCTGGTACTGCAGCGTGTCCCTGCTGTCTCTGGGCTGTGCACCAAGACAGAGGCTTCTGCTCCTGCTGCTGCTGCTCATCACCTCTGTCTTCTTCCTTCTGGAAACCTACCAAAGGCAGCTATGGGGCACCCAGCGACGGTCTGGGACCCAAATTAACAAGTGAGTGGACGGAAATGAAACAAATAAACTCATTTCATTTGAGCCGTACACAGAGGCTGACAGAGTGGCCTCTTGCAAATCTGGAAGCCTTTTGGTAACGTGTTTTCCTCTTATATGCTACTTTGGGCTCACTTTAATAGATTTTTGTCTTCCTGTGTTAGTTTGTCTTGTTAGAAAATGCAATTTCAAAAATCTAGTCCCAAAACCTTTTCCAGTCAGTGTTGTAGAAGCTAAGCTAAACAAAGCATGGCTCTAAGGGAATAGGAGGGTGAAACAGCATGCCAAAACATGCCATAAATGTAGGTGCATTTCATAATCAGCCACCATTAATCTGAGCAATGAAGACTAGAGAATTTCTTAAGTGCCGCCATGTCGATCATATTCTCTTTGAGCTCAAATAATGCAGGCCCTCCTCTCTTTCAAGTGTGCTCGAGTGGAAAGCTCATGGTAAACAGATAACCAGCTTTGAGAGCACTGTTGAAAGGACTCAGTGTGTGGGACCGACTGCAGGTGTTCTCCTCAGTAAACAAGGGAAAGATACTAAATAAGGAGATCATTTGGAAAAATGTAAATGCGGTTTCTTTGTATGAATGTGTAGAACATTTGTTTCAAGTGGATTTAAAGGAAGAATCATGTCTGTGGATATTATTTAAGCTCTTGACACCTTTGTGCTTTCTTTGGTACATGAGTGCAGTT